AGAGGTAGACTCATTGTCCAAGTTGAAGTGGACAGCCGTGCACTTTCTGGTCATAATAATCCTTTTGACATCGACCGGCAGCTCCTAAGTGCTCTCGCGCGAGCGAATAAGCTTTGGTCAGGTCCCCACGTAGACGAACGGTATAGTCTGTGGCAAGCAGCGAATCACCAGCTGCGGTTGGCACAGTCAAATCAATCGGCAATCTCATTTCGCGCCCAGTTACCATGAAGTGTGGAGTATTAACAGTAGATTAGTGAACACTGGACCGAGAGGACAGGCGACACTGCGGAATTGCAATAGCCCAATCGCTGCTGTGGTGTTCCTCTGTGAAGGCTTTTAAAAGAGCCTTCATGGATCGATTACGCGTTCTACTTGACAATTGCCTTGGTGATGGTAGGCTGTTGTCCGATTCTTTCGAATGCCTAGTATTCGGCAGAGTTCAGACACTACCAAACTTTTGGAATTTGAACCACGGTCTGAATTAAGTTGCACAGGTGCCCCCACCGTGAAATCCAGTGGTCAAACACAAGCTGAGCTGTGGGTCTGGCGTCAGTGTACGGGGTTGGTATTGCCTCACACCATTTGGTGAAATAATCGAACAAAACATGTATATACCGATTCCCTCGTGAAGTTTCAGGCAGGGGTCCAAGGACGTCCACACCTACGGTTTCGTTGGGATATCCACTCATCATGGACTGCAGGGGCACTGTTCATCTTTTGTGGTTGCTTAAAGCGGATGCACTCATGGCACGCATTACAGAAGTTCGCAATATCTCGACGCTGTTGAAGCCACCAAAAACGCAAGCCTGCTGCTTGCTCCATTTTCCGTTGTCCCGCATGCCCCAACCCCCTATTTAGCTGTTCGAGTATCCGTTGCACCATGGACTGCGGAACGATAAGTCTGCTAAGGTAATTCGGACCAAACTGGTAATACATGACACCATCCAATAGCCGAATTTTCGACCACAGGGACCACAAGCAGTGCGCTTCCCAGCTAGATCCAGCTATTTCTGCTTTCGTAAGCTTCACACTCCCCTGTTGTAGGCGCTCATAAATCAAGTTGGTCTCTGGATCTGTACCGTGAGCTGATGCTCAATCTGTTGAATCCGAATGGTTCGAAGACACAAAGGCAACGTTCGAGGTTGAACAAGACAGACAATCCCCATGTGACCTAGACGGCAGACGAGACAGGGTGTCTGCATTTCTGTGTTGCTTCCCGGGGCGATATTGACATTCAAAGTCGAAGGCTTACAGTTGTTCTTGCCAACGCGCAACTTGCCCTTCGGGTACGCGAAATTCCCTCAACCACCGGAGCGCCTGATGATCAGTACGGATAATAAGGTGTCGATCCAACAAGAAATGTCGGAAATGTTTAACGAAGGAGACCAGGGCAAGCATTTACTTCCTAGTAGTGCAATAGTTTCGCTCCGTTTTTGTCAACTTGCGGCTAGCGTAAACGACCATCCGTTCCATTCCATCCCCAAAGATCCGTGATAAACCAGCGCTGATACCAACCTCACTAGCATCAGTGTCTAAAATGAATGGGGCAGCTTGCGGTGACATCCGGGAAGATAAGGACTGGGGCGCTGGCCAAAGCAGGACGTAACTCATCAAAAGATTCCTGACGCTGCGGGATCCAGTTGAAAGGCCGATCCTTCTCCGTGAGTCGGTGCAAGGGTGATGCCATATCCGCATAGTTCTTCACGAAACGTCTGCAGTAAGAAGCCAGACCCAGAAAGCTCCGAACCTCTTCCAATGACTAGGGAATAGGCCAACTTAAGATATCCTGTACTTTCGAAGGGTCGCTCCGGATCCCCCAATCGTTGGTCACGTGACCTAGATATTTAACCTCACTCTTCAGCAGGTCTCACTTAGACGGCTTCAACTACAACCCTGCAAAACTAAGGCATTGCAGCACTGTTCCTAGATTCATGATAGGTTCATCGAGACTACGTCCATGAACTACTACATCATCCAGGTATACAAGACAGTTGCTTGGCTGCAAATCTCTGAGCACAATGTGCATTAATCGCTGGAAGATCGATGGTGTATTAACCAACCCAAACGGCACGTTATAAAACTCGGATAGCCCAGTGGGTATAGCGAATGCAGTTTCTTCAATTCCATATGGTGTACTTCGACTTGTCAATAACCTGAGGCGAGTTTCAAAGTAGAGAACCAGGTGGCGCTATCAATGATTCCAGAGTGTCGTCAATGCGAGGTAGCGGGAAAGAATCTTTCGTGTTATATCATTAAGCTTCCTATAATCCACACAGATGCGTAGTGTCCCATCCTTCTTTTTGACTAATACAGGAGGGGCAGCCCAGGGGATCGCGAAGGATGTATGGTATTATCTTTTAACATCCGATTCACTACTTTCTGTACTTCCTGTCTATACACGGGTGGGACACACCTGGGCCCTTGCCGTGTTGGTGGAGCATCCCCTATTTCAATCCGATGCTTACGTACGCTCGTTCTACCCAAAGATGTACCTTTCCATGCGAACGCCTGCTGGTGTGAACGCAGTAAATTCTACAGGCGCTTCCGTGCTTCATTGTCAACAGTAGGGCAAACAGACGTAGGCAATTCCGATACTTCACCTTCATCTTCCACGGTGTTAGCACCCAAAGCAAAAAGCCTTTTCACGTAGCCGTTATTAGTTTTGAAGTGTGGAAGGAGCAGGTTGCCACGTAATGTCAAATCCGGAGATTAGATCGATGACACATGCATACCAACCCCCATTATCGCTTCCCATGGAATTTGATCATCTATGTAAAACTCATGGGAAGGAAGCTCTTGACCGACCAGCATATCTACAGCAGCAACACCATGAGTAAGCAGAACCATCCCGTTTGCCACTCTGATCTGACGCACCGGACTAGTGACTACTGAGGAGGACAAGAAACAGGACTTTAAAAGGCTACATACTGTGCCGGTGTCAATGAGGGCATACACTCGCTGACTATTGATTATTATATTCACAGTCTGGGATTCACAGAACTTAGAAGACACCAAAGTTACACAAGGAAGTGCTGACTCACCGTCAATGAATCGCACTCCCGGTGATTGTTCGCGCCTTTGGAAATTGCGGGAGCGTCGTACTGACTTCTCATAGAGGGAATTCTGGCATTTGAGACAATGACGACGGCAAGTATAAGAACTTAGGCTGTGAGGTGGTTCAGTCTGGTTCACCGTCGGCGGCACACAACTAATAGCCATCAGCTTGTCAACCTCCTTCAGACGCCTATCGCGGATCACATCTTATTCGCTTGCAAGCCACGCCGCGGTCGTTAAGTATCTCGTATAAAACACTCCGAAGTGCGGTCGTCGGGGATGCCTTCGATAAATCGCTCTAAGGTAAAGGCCTCACTTTCTGTTACTAAGTTCCCTGGAAAAGCCTTGGCCGATAGCACCCGAAGGTCCCACAAAAAGGCATGGGCCGACTCTGCCACTTGACGAAAGCTCTTCCAATATATGGATCGAGTAGCTGACTCGTGCACTTCGTCTACAAAAAGAGCCTCTAATTGATTCCAGATTTCTCTGACAGGCATCCGGGCGAATAAAAGTACACAACAAAATCTCCTGAACTAAGTAACTGAGGGATTTCATTATAACCGAGGAATTGTGTTCTTCGGGGACGCAAGCAAGTGACATTTCCATGCGACGAAGCAAGTTACATAAGTTTGTGTCCACATCAAAGCTAATGAAGATACCAAGAAAAAGGTCTCTGCGGATTGCAGGATGTTTCACTTTATACGCAGAGCCTTCTCTCGCCTGACCCCGGGGTCAGGCGACTCCTGTTTACATCACATATACACCCGCTTCTGGAAAGCGGGCTACCTGCCGCCTACCCTCTTACGAAATTCGAATGTGATATGATCGGAAAAGTTCAAGGGCGTGGATGCAAATCTGTTCCTGAGCTGCGGGACCTGTCCTATTCTCTCCGACTCAAACAACCGAACCTCCTTTCCCTAGATTACAATCGTCCTCGCGGAGACTTGATCTTCACCCGACGTATTCTTAGAGGAGAGTTGGAGAGGGAATGACGGGAAGTCTTTCATCCCAACACAGAGAGTTCAACAAGAGGCCACAGTTTGAAACTGTTCAAACCGAGGAGTGATCCAGTGGGATCCAGCCTGGCTTTATCCACTCGCGTTGTGAATCACTGGAACCGTCTTCCGGAGTCCATCGTCGTTGCCGAGACCGAGGAACGTTTCAAGCACTTATTGGATTCTCATTTTAGTTTACGGGGATCCATCTGTTTACAATGCAGCTTCAGTGGTTCTCTGTGGGACCTTGTTCCGCAATGACCCAGCCTATCTCCGAAACGATTGAGAAGTGACGCAGCTGACAAAGGGATTTCCTTTGGCTCTCTATCATACAATGATCCAATAATCCAATGCTGTTTAAGCCAAGGAGGCAGTGTATTCTTACGGATGCAATCCCAATAATAAAGTGGTGAATATAATGAAAGGCATACCGGAGGATATAGTAGACGCGTCGTCGGAGAAAATAGAAAAACGGCTGTTCGACAACTGATAGAAAAGAGTACAGTGCGCTTTCTAAACTGAAAATAAGACAATCATTTGAGGAATGTTGTGACTTAATGATAAGCATCAACCGCACTGTGTTTCGGAACCGACTAAGCCGATAAGATTTACGGACCTTCCTGAGAGAACTCAAAGAATTCAATATAATCGCTACAGATCTCTGCGATATAAGTAGCGCACCAAACCACGGTGACTTCTTTTTATAAGTTTTTTATGGATGCTGGTGCGAAAACGTCCCCACTTAGATAGTAGCCAAAATCATTTTGGGATTCCGAAAATCCTGGAATGTGAAACAAGTAGGAAAAACAAATCTAAGTGAAAATATAAATATGTGCTTTGTTAAATCTTATAAGTTTTAACCCCGTTTAGTTAAAGAGCAAGATGATCATGTTAATTTGTGTTTTATCAAAGTATCGGCATAAGCTACGAAAGTCTTATTCGCCCGCTTTTACAAAGCAAGTAACTTTGCGGCCGTCGCCAAAAGCACCTACGGTATCATGTTTTCAGCTGTTTTTCTATTTACAATGCATAGATGTATGAGTTAATTAAAAACTAATGGCTGTTGTGCTCAATGCATATTAACTGGTAATGTCAACTCGTTCTCTTTATCCTTGTAATGTACTGATGAAGCCCGTGATTTAGGTGTCATCATGGTGAACAGGTATAAGCTTTCGGCACAATGTCGCCATGCTGCCAATAAAGCGCTACAAGTTGTTTGGTTTTAAATGTGCGTTGTAACACTAAAGCAGAAGCATTTTGCCGTTATATAAAGAAGTGGTTAAGCCTCACCTGGAGTACTGTCTTCGGGGCTGGGCACCCTATATCCGTAATGACGCAATGGGTACAACAACGCTTCTAAACGTTGCGACAAGAATGAATGAAAGTCAGGGTGAAAGTCGTACGAAGATCGGCTAAGTAGACAAGGATTATTTTACTTGGAACTACGCAGATTGCAAGCGGACTTGATAGAAGTTTAAGATCATTAAGGAACACAGTGGTATCAATCCCACTTCTCTCTGAGTTAGCTACGTCGGAGCACCTGCGCAAACACTACCTGAAGCACAAACCACATAGGGCCCGTTTGGACATTAAGGCGAAACTTTTACAAACTGGGTATTTAACATCTGTGAGGCTATAGAAGCCTTTAAAAGAAAATTAGAGGCTTTGGTCTGACCTTAACTCTAAACTAGGGTAATTTTACTGGAATATGTAGAGGATTCTGATGCTGACACATGGAAGTGTAAAGGATGTTCTTGTTCTTGCTTCATTCTTTTGCAGAAGCAAGAAGAGCCAACCCAACGTCGAAGTGCCTAGAGTTGTTGTTTAGTTACCGGCATAAAAAACAGGACGATCGTCAAGCGAAAGCCTCTATCGTCCGTGGTACTTGATCTTACGACCTTGTTAACAACACTTTTCTCAATAGTACTGAGCTACAGAACACAATCAGATTCACCACCAGATCCTATGCGACTGCAGGCTTAGTATGCGTTAAGGATAATACGGTAGATTAAACATGTATCACATGGCTGCTCCACTGGAGTTTCACTCCACAATATCGTTACGATATTTGCGGTATCCTGTTACACATGTGAATGTAACCGCACAGCAACCATATCGCTATCGTCCCATCTTCCTTTTAATGTGTACCAGACGGAATTTTTTGACAAATCTTATATCTTAGCTTATCTTATATCTTAGCTTCTATCTTAATATTAGTACACTGTCTTGATTTTATTTCTACCTGCTATTAGTTAAAACAAATACCGAGGTACATTTTTACTGACGATCCGAAGTTTTCAGCAGGGGTGATCGTCAAACCCTTTCAAAAAACATCGTCACAGTAGTCAATTGGTCGAATCAATGGGACACACCTAAATACTCATAAATATCAGTTACTGACCACTAGGAATGATGAAAAAGTTCACTTTCTCGGGATACCTGACACTGCAGTATACTAGTCAACCATATGATCTTGGCATCATCATGGTACACAATTTCAAATCCTCTGCACAGTGTCCCCATGTTGCTAAATAAGCGCGACGGGAGCCATTTCGTCTCTGGCGAGCGTTGCGTATCATCAAAGCAGACGTTTTTCGTCTTCTGTATAAGTATTGTGTGCTGACTTGGAAGCCTTATTGACTTGGTGACTTCATTTGCATTAAACAGATCCATAAACTGGTGACCAAAATGATTGAAAGTCAGCGTGAAAAGACATACGAAGGCCTAATAAAAACGTTAGGTTGTTTTCTATAGAAATACGCAGCCTGATAGGTTTCCATATTAAAACATTCAAGCTCTTGAGGAGTCACAGTAGGATCAATCCTACAGATTCGTTTGAGCTGGCTACGACTGACCACTTGTTTGGACATGAGCTTAAGCTCTAACGAGAGTGCTCTCGACTGGACATCAGGGGAAATTTTTCACAAGTCGTGTCGTCAGCCACTGGAATAGGCTTCCTATCAATTTAATAGAATGTGGAATGGTAGAAGTTTTCAAACTTGTCCTGGAAAAATGGTAGTCAGATCATTTTCTTAAATTACTGCAAGTTTGCTGAAGCTAGATTACCAACTTGCAACCGATCTTTTTTCTCTCTCTTCTTCTTCTCGCGATAAAACGAAGATTCATTGTAACGTCTAAATGCCAGAGGCTTGGTTTGCTTACTGGTTTAAGTAACAGGACGCTAGTTAGGCAAAGCTTGTGCTGTGCACAGGAACTGCCCTGACCAGACCTGACCTGACCTATATTTAGGTAACCAAAAAGAAATGGTTGCGGTCTACTCCTCCTTGTATGTATGTATTGGTAACAGTCTAACGAATAGACCTAGAGCCATACAAAAGCATGAAAATCGAAGGAACAACACAGAGTTAATCACCGTAACAGCATCATGTCACACTAGCTGAGGGTGAGCAACACATTTTAGCTATTATGCCATACAACGAACGGCAATGTTTTAGTTAATTTTACACGACTATGTTTTTAGTTTGTTGTCCTCTTAGAACGTTTGACACCTGAATCTAAACAAGTAGGTACACAAATCATTTACTGCTTTTGACAACGCGCCATATCCTTCAATGTTTGTAACCGTCACCATAACTGGTCCTTTGGCCCCAAAACATGCAGGCGCATGGACCAAACGGCAGCAAGACGCGAAGTCAAGGATTTCATATGTTGACGCCAAGTGGACGGCTGACCAACACACGTCTTATTCAACCAAGCCCCACACAAGTGAAAAAGGCGCAATAAGGTAAATCTTCATCTGACACAAGCAAAATATGACCGAAACATCTTAGCTGATGCAGCAAAACCAGCATGTTGTAGTGCATACTCGCATCTCCTAAGACACGACATCAAACTTCATCAGTGGAAATACGTGGCTGCCACCACAGACAAGCAATCCTTCTCAGGAACCCATTGTCGTTAGCTGAGTGTCGGTGCATGTTACCCAAGCGAACTGGTCACAACTCAGTTCCGTATAGCAACACCGCCCGAACGAGCGGTGGGATTTCTCAATGATTCCACAAGTGTTTCAATTTGGTGAACGATGACCGAGCTTTAGCGTCTCCGTAGAGCCACCAGCAGATTGGCAGATGCTCAGGAGGACAAAGTTATCAACGTGTTCGAGCTGTGCATATTCAATAGTAAGCAAGAGAACGGGCGAGTGCCAATCCTGGTGCAGCGCCAAACATTTCTATGGGGCGAAGCAATGACCAAACTTAGATGTCTCAATTGCTAAACGGTTTGGAACTTTTTGCATCATCCATGAGTTGTCACTAAGTAAGGCGATGTCATCGGCCTAATCGATGTCAATAGCACGCTTGTCCGGAAAGAGTTGCAGTCCCAATTATGACAAACTTTCAAATCTCTTGACAGAACGTCTTCATTCGCTAAAATGAAGATAAATGGAGACATAAGGCTTCCATGTAGTACATCAGTATTGACAACGAATAACGACAAAAGCTTACTATAGACCCTCACTCTACCGGAGATGTAAAGGTAGAGTGCAGGTAATATGGCAGTATGCTTTTCTGGACCCCGTTCCTTAGCAAACAAAAATGTCAGCCGTACGATGTAACGAAGCTTCCCTGCCTCATGAACACCAAAATTCGCGTGCAGGCTATACCTTGAGAACGCCCACTCTTACGTGGATTCAAACCGGGGACTTTGTGGATGCAAACCAGGTGCGCAAACCACTCGGGCACCGGCCATTGACAGAGGTTGTGGTGTTCGAGGAATTATCAGTTCGTGAATACGTGATTCACGCACCTACGGTCACGACAGAAGCCAGCATGTTCTGCCCGGTACCTCGATTCACGAAAGGACGAAAGTCTACGAAGGTGAATGGATTCCGAAGGCTTGGAAACAACCAAAATGAGACTAATCCCTTTAGTGATTGGTGCATGAATTGCGAGCATCCTAACTAATCGAGACAACAATTGGCTCGCCTCAGGAAGAAAGCACTTTTCCTTCAATCTAGAGTTTTAAGAACAATGAGAGTAACTGGCTGATGGTAACCGCGCCTCAATACTTGAATGGCCCCGGAGAATATTCGTCTGAGTCGGCAGCATTAAATCGTCCCGGGTTTCGAATAGCAAAACGAATTTCCGCTGCAATGGGTGGAGCGAATTTGACGACCAGTGGTGAGCGGCCTGGTATGCAGGGAAGAAAGGTAGACGGTGAGACTTAATGCTGGAAATGAAAATGCTGGGATCATCAATCCAAGGTTGACAATCGGCGAACCATCCATTTTTCAAATAGTCTCACTGACACCAGACTTTTGTGGTCATTGGATCTAATAATCTGAAATACCTTGCGAGTATTACCAGTGTGGGCAGAGGTCTCTTTTTCTGAAGCGCGCTTGGGCCGCCAGACTTCACGATCACTGCATAGGCTTTAGTTGAGCTTCTGGCTGACAGAACGGCACACTTCATTATGGCTGGACTCCACTGGGATACTCATGAGGTATATAAATAGACCCCAGGTGTGCGTGGAGATCCAGGCCTTTGTAAGGTGCCGAGTATGACTGTAGACTGACTGCTTAGAAGAGAACATAACGCGTTGCATGTACGTCCATTGTGCCTCAATGTCTTGCGGAGGGTCACAGCTGAATGCATCGGCCAGTGACGCTTAATATCTCTGCTGAACCAAGAAAGTAGATACTTTATTTTTATCCATATTACAGTGACTCGTTTCGGGGACCCTGCAAAACTCACGCAGATACTGGCATAAACAAGAACATAGTTTGAGTCAAGAACTGTAGACCTGATTAATTTGCAATCACGTACACTATCACACCATCTAAAACCGCTTGTGAGTTAGTCAGTTTGAAACCAAGATTGCAATGCAGATGAGGGTGACCATGTAGGTTACCGTCTCCACAAATGCCAAAACTGACGCTCGACAGTAATAGACGCTTGTCTTCGCACAATGTAAGAAGTCATTCCCCATTAGCCGGGTGGCTTTCATCGAGCGCATGGTGATCACCGAGAGGAGTT